AGCCGGACATCGGCACTCGCCCTTTGTAATACACCGCGCTGTTTATGCTCCCGCGATAAGCTCCCCCGCCCGCGTGACGTCATTCCCCCGCGCCACAAAAATCTCCCTCCGCTCGCGTGACGTCATGCCCCCTCGCCCGCGCGGGACCCCCCGTCCCTCACCTCCCCTCAGAGGACCTGAGTTAGAACTCTCCTATTAACACTACTATTGCGCTCTGCCGAAGTTAATAATCGGCTGGCGTATTCGTCGTTGCCTTCTCCTTGTAGGAGGATCGCTCCTAACGCATAGTTGTTAGCATCCGTTCGTATAATGAACGGTAACGTTTCATCTGCCTGTCTAAGTATTGGAGCGTTCGTTAATAACTTCTTCAATCTAGCAAAAGCATCTTCTTGATCCTTTGTCCATGTCCATGCGACGTTCTTTTTTATTAATTGCGTTAATGCTCTAGCGACCGCTGCAAAGTTCGGTATGAACCTACGAAACCAAGAAGCGGTTTGTAAAAAAGTGAGTAGATGCTTCACGTTTCTCGGAGTTGGTAAATTTAGAATAGCCGCTACTTTGTTTTCGTTCGGACGTATTCCTTCTGGGGTAATTACGTGTCCTAAGAATTTTACCTGCAAACTGACGAAACTGCATTTTTCCCGTTTGGCTCATAATTTGAATTCGCGTAAACGATTGAAGACTTGTTGCAAGTCTTTTATGTGTTCTTCAAAGCTAGTAGATATTACAATTATATCATTTAAATATACTATTGTTACGTCCTGGTGACTCCACGATTCCTTCCTTCCACGAAGTTGCGGCATCGATAATCGATCGGTGATAGAAATGAGTCGTTCGGTAAATAGAGCATCTTGCGTCACACATTCCTTAAACATTTAGTCACTTATCAATATCTATATCTACGAGTAACCGTGAGAAAGACGCGACGAAACCGCAAAGGGACAAGAGGTACAGCTGATAAAGACGAAGTAGAACGAAATTTTCAGCTTGCTCAAGACACATACAATCGAACAAAATCTAACAAATCAGAAACACATCTCACTTCCACTTCTAATAAAACTACTAAAAACATTAATTTTTTATTAGACGAAACCGTAATTGAAAAAGATTTTGAGAAAAAGTTTAGCGAAACAGCGGCCGAGTCTCATTTTGCCGATGAAAGAAACCACCGAACGAACGTCTGAATAACCAGCGTAACAGCGACTCAGTCGTTTACCTGCTTTTCAGACCTGTCAGTTCGTTTGACCCGATTCCAAACGCCACGAGACGTTTAATTTCGGGAAAATTAAAGATAGTTGTTGCGCCCTTCCGTGTACTCATCCTTCCTCGAGTCTGGACGTAACACTTTAATCCTCGTCGAAATCGGTCTATCAATCGTTGAAATGTGGCGCCGGAATTCTTTAAGACGAATGACATGCGTTTAAAACGAAAGGTACCAAAAGGTGTGGTAATTGCAGTCTTGTCTCTATTTATGGGCTTCACGCTCACTTGCCAATATCCCGAACGTAGATCGATAGTAGACATATACAGGGTGATTCAAAACAACCTTTTGTCCTTACAATGTCATATACTTGACTCAATTCTAAGACGAATTGGCAAAAGAAAAATCGTCTTAAAATTGAGTCAAGTATATGACATTGTAAGGACAGAAGGTTATTTTGAATCACCCTGTAGAGAGTCCTTTTCTCAAGATGTTTTAATTCATCGATTCTGGGCATTGGGTACGGATCCGTCTTCGTAATAGCGTTAAGACGGCGATAATCGACACATATTCGTACAGTACCATCCTTTTTGGGCACAAGTACTACTGGAGTGGCCCAAGGAGACTCGCATTCTTCTATAATGTCAGCTTCCAACATAGAGTTTATTTCTTTCTCTAAAATTTCTTTGTTTGGTTTAGACATTTTATATGGCGGTATAGCTATTGGTGCGTTATTACCGGTATCGATGACATGTTCAGCGTACGGAGTTGGTTCTCCCCCTAGAGCAAAAATATCCTCGTTGGCTGTTAGGAACTCATCAAGTTCCATTCGTTGATCTTGAAGTAAATTACGTACTTCATCTTCACGCAACGTGCTTGCATAATTTATTAGTAGAGTTGTGAACGTCTCGTTACTCTCAAATTTTAACTCGTGTGGCTCGTCATTGTCTGCAAAATACCATACACGTTTATGAAAATTTAATACTATCTGAGCGTTTTCGATAAAATCCATTCCAAATAACGTATAATTGTTTGGTGCATGCGGTATTACGATGAATGTAGTGTTAATTGTGCGATCAGCTACTTGGACATCGACCTCAGTTAATAGTACGTTTCCTTCGTTGCACGTATCCGTCTGCCAGTCCGATACGCAAGTTCGATCTCTCGAACTTTTGTCCTCTCTTAGCGAGCACTTTATAGAGGCTATGTTCTGCAACACTTAATTTGGCGGCGATATCGATTAGTCCTGTCCTTTTCGCTCCTAATATTTCTACGTTGAGAATCGGTCTGTTTCTATATTTTGCTTGTATTTCGGATGCATCTACGAGGCAAAATTCGGACTTAACCTCGCTCTTGTCAGTTTTTTCTCTCTTGTTGCATTTTGGACAGTCTTTACGGAGATATCCAGGGTTGCCACAACCGAAACATGTTATCGCGGGTTGGACGCGCTGATTACCTATGTCGGTTTCATCGGTATCGGTTCCGCCTCGATTCTTTCTAGATGGCGCGGTTGCGTCTTCGTCCCGTCTCTTTCTAGATGGCGCGGCCGTGTCTTCGTCCCGTTTCCTTCGGATATTCTTACACTCATCTACGATGTGTCCGAAATTTTTACAGTATTTACAACGGGGACGCGTTTCATGTTTCCGCGGCGATACTGATCGTGCCTTTTGGGGTGCTTCCGCCCTAGTCTCTTCTACTTCCCTCGCGAGATCGAGTAATTCCGAGAACGACGCGACTTTTTCGCCTGATATTTCTTTTCGAATTTTATACGATAATGATCCGTACACCATGTCTATTTGCATGCTTTCCGACAATGGCGTATCGAGAGTTTCGAGAGCAGCGCACGCGCCTTGCACACAAATATGTCCGTCGGTGTGTCCTCTTCTTGTTCGCGGGAAAATAGTTCTCTATATATGCGATATGCCGGTTTCTTCGATCCGTATGTTTGTCTCAGTAATACTATCGCAATGTCCCACGTATTTACTGTACTTTTGACACCTTGCCACCATGTCGCGGCGAGACCCGTAAGAAGAATCGGTAATCCTTTTAATGCGTTTTCGTCGGATATATTCGTGCAGTCTTTATATGTAACGATCGCGGCTAAGAATGTTTCTACGTCGGATTTCTTGTCTCCGTCGAAACGAGATCATCGCGAGAAATTACTTTGCGGATGCGCGATGTTTGCGGCGGGGACGTTGGCGGCAGATATCTGTATCTGTTGTAGTAGCGTAGCAAACTGTTCGTTCGTCAACGTAATTGCATTACCTGGTTGTTGCTTTTCAGCCATCTTGTCTTTCTGTTTCTCTTCGCTTTTTTTTATGCTAGTCCTCTGTTGTGTTTGCGACCGCGTCACCGGTCGTGATCGACCGTTTTCAGACGACGTCTTGACTCGGAGGAATGACTTACTGCCGTAGATCTGACCACAAAGTTGGGCGCCAGTTGTAAGGGAGCTCTCAATCCTCGTATTCTGAGGTGCGAAATATTGAGGAAACCTCCTTGATAAAATATGTCGGTTCAGCAGACCTTAACGGCTGCCACGGAATCCGATGGATATTGGGTCACAAAACGACACGGATAGAGTTATTATCGAAATATATGTATTTAAAGCTTACAAGAAAGAGACTGTATGACTGTGTCGTATGACTTCTCTTGTTCTATTCTCTACTCTCACTGGGCGCTAGTATCGCGCCGACCGTACTGTCCCCTGTCAGCGGCTCTCGATCGTGTAACGGGGCCCTTTGCGCTACATATTCCTATTTAGGCTGACAACATTTCTGCAAAAGAATTGTCCTTCAGACGTATATCTTTTTATAGTCGTTACGTCGAGCCCACAAGTGTTAAACTTTTGAAACATTTGTGTCAAAATATTGCCACAACAAGCGTCTCCAAGCTCAAACAAATGCTTCGTAAAGCAAATTACATATTAAATATAAAATAAACTGCATATCATGATTTCGTGGCTCTAGTTTATTCTTTCAGTTTTAACCTGTAATATATCCGGTTTAGTGATATATATAATTCTACTCATGTACATAGCTTTACTATTTACATATTTGTAAGGGAGCTCTTAATCCTCGTATTCTGAGATGCGAAATATTGAGGAAACCTCCTTGATAAAATATGTCGGTTCAACAGACCTTAACGGCTGCCACGGAATCCGATGGATATTGGGTCACAAAACGACACGGATAGAGTTATTATCGAAATATATGTATTTAAAGCTTACAAGAAAGAGACTGTATGACTGTGTCGTATAACTTTTCTTGTTCTATTCTCTACTCTCACTGGGCGCTAGTATCGCGCCGACCGTACTGTCCCCTGTCAGCGGCTCTCGATCGTGTAACGGGGCCCTTTGCGCTACATATTCCTATTTAGGCTGACAACATTTCTGCAAAAGAATTGTCCTTCAGACGTATATCTTTTTATAGTCGTTACGTCGAGCCCACAAGTGTTAAACTTTTGAAACATTTGTGTCAAAATATTGCCACAACAAGCGTCTCCAAGCTCAAACAAATGCTTCGTAAAGCAAATTACATATTAAATATAAAATAAACTGCATATCATGATTTCGTGGCTCTAGTTTATTCTTTCAGTTTTAACCTGTAATATATCCGGTTTAGTGATATATATAATTCTACTCATGTACATAGCTTTACTATTTACATATAATTAAAGTCTGACTTCTGTTTAGTAAAGATATTGATTTATAAGAAACAACAACGTATTTAAGTACACTTGGATATAGTTTTTGCTATTGCTTTGTTGTTAATACTATTCTGTTTGCTTTATTATAATAACGATGGATAAGAATACAATTAATGCAGCCAAATCAATTCCGGCGTTTTACGCTGGACAAAGTATATTTTTGACAGGCTCGACAGGATTTCTGGGCAAAGTACTCATTGAGAAGATACTGAGATCTTGCTCGGATATTAAAGAAATATTTATATTAATGCGTCCGAAAAAAGAACTAAGCCTTAATGAAAGATTTGAAAAAATGTTGAACTTACCGGTAAGTTAGAAATAGAAATGGATTTTTTTCTTGCAGCACGCACGCACGCACGCACGCACGCATACACACACATACTATTTCGTTAAAAAGTATTATATTAATGAGAAAAGTTTCTGAATAATTTTTATTCTAAAATGTTATTATAATAGAAAATTTATATTAATAATTTGAAAATTGGAAAAAGAGAAGTAGAATTATATGAGATAAAACATCGAGAAACGTTAAAAATAATAATTTGTAGAAAAAATTGAGAAATGTTTTACAATTTTTATGTAAAAATATCTAAACATTACGACAAATTTTCTTATAAATATTGTATATACAGGGTGTCCCATTTTAACTTTCACACCGTAATATCTCGAAAACCACGCATTTTCAAAAAAAAATGTTTCAAACAAAAGTTATTTGACTCGAAGGGGGACATAAGATGGTGCCATTGGTTTGATCGTGGATAGTCGTTTGAAGGTCACGTAAAGGTCACCTTTAACTTCTTAAATGGAAACCCCCATTTTCCATTGGTATAAAAAAAATAATTGTTTTTAAGAAAAAATATGTAATTATTTACAATGTATTTTTTTTAACAATTCTTTGTTTTTTTTCTTTTTTTTTGCACTAATTGATTTGTCTTATTATTTCGTATATAAGAGCCGTTTTACAATGTATTTTTTTTAACAATTATTTGTTCTTTTCCTTTTTTTGCACTAATTGATTTGTCTTATTATTTCGTATATAAAAGTATTACAGTAAAATTATCGAAAATTAAATATTTTACGATGTTTTATTTTTTATATCAAAATATGTCAGATTAAAATATAAAATAACTCGAAAAATACTTAATAAAAAAATACTCTATTATAGTGTTTTGAAAAGCTCTCGATCTAAGCTACAAGAATATGTAATGGAAAATGGGGATTTCCATTTAAGAAATGGAAGGTGACCTTCATGTGACCTTCAAACGGCTATCCAAGGTCAAACTAATGGCACCTTCTTATATCCCCCTTCGAGTCAAATAACTTTCGTCACAAACATTTCTATGAAAATGCATCGGTCAGTTTCATAGAAAAATAAGTTTTCTATGAAACTGATTATGTGCACAGGGCATGAAATTTTACTTGGTCCTATACCCAAAATTCAAAATTAATCTCAATTCGAGATTTATAATAACTCTTCTTTACCCCCCTGGAGAGACGAAAGCGAGAAAAATATCGGGACGCAGTCGCTGAATCGGGAATCGAACTCGAGTCTTTCGCTTGCTGGGCGATTGCTCTTACCTCTGAGTTATTCAGATCCCACACCACCGATACTTCTCATTCGCCTTATTTGTAAATATCTATTACTAATAACGCCATCTTTCAGCCGGCGTGAACTAACAATTTAAGAAATTAAGGTTCTCAAGTGATATAACAAATTTAAATAAGCGCGGGCTAGTAAGAGCCATACGCGGATGCACAAAAACTGACGCACTACCATCCGCGTATGGTTAAAACACCCTGTATAATATTTTTTTATTTTAGTTATACGATAAATTACGAGAGGAGCAACCTTCAAATTTAAAGAAATTAGTTGCTGTTTCTGGCGATACCAGTCAAGAAAATTTAGGTTTGTCGGCTGTCGATAGACAAATGCTGACTGAAAGAGTGACTATAATAATTCATAACGCGGCAAGCGTGAAATTTAACGATAGCTTAAAGTACGCCATTCTTACTAATACCAGATCAACGAGAGATATATGTATCTTACAATTAACCGAAAGTATCAAGAATCTAGTAGTAAGTCAACACCGATTAATTATGCATTCGAATATTAGTGAAAACTCTCTTATTATATTTCATTATGTGAATTATCTTACATGCGGTTTTATACGATATACTGATATTATCATTTTATACATACATTTATTTTTTTAAATTGTTTTTACATTAGATATATCTTTTAAGCTTATGTATATTTGCGGTATTTTAAAGAGATGTTTTTATACATAAGAATTGTATTAATTTCTCTATTAATTGTAAACATGCCTCGTTCTTTTGCTATGAACTCCCTAATTATAGCATTTTGAACAAGGCACAACTTTAATATTAATTGTTTTTACCTGTTAAAGTATATGTTAGCACAGCATATGCACATTTGGATAATCCGTTTATAGAAGAAAAAGTGTATCCGCCTATAGCCGATTGGCGGAAACTGATCAAAGTGGCCGAGTCATTGGATGAGCATACCTTGAATGTTTTTACAGATAAGTGAGTGTGGCAAACATAAATTTAATATATCATAAGTATGTAAATTTTAAATATTTGTTAATTAGAAAAAGAAATTATTCTTTTCATATTATTTCTTTTCATTTTGCTTCCTCATAGAGGAAGCTTTGTTTTCGTAACAAAATTTTTTTCGAGTTTTCTATGCCAATGTGTTTAAAATGTTCCAAAACGTCTTGTAAGATAAAATGATGAGGAAGCAATATGCAAGTTTCTAATTTGCACAACTACTTGTTTTTATATTATAATGTTACAATTACTTTTGAGTTTTTTATTTGCCATATTTATTTGAAATTATGTACAGATGCTTGAATAATATTCCCAATACATATATATTCTCAAAAAACTTAATGGAGAGTATAATACAGGAATACTCCTCATCTTTGCTTTGTGCAATTGTGAGACCATCCATGGGTACGTAGAACTTTTGCTAAATATTAGAGAGAGATAGAGAAACATGAGATAAATTTTTTTTTCTCTGATGCTATTTGAGCAAATTGAAAATATGCGCTTCTTATATTTTGTAGAGAAAGTCTTAAAATATAATATTTGTATTAGTCATACGAAGAAAATAAAAGACAATCAAGAGCCAGCGTGGTAATTTGTGCGCATATGTTTTATTACTGTTCGGGAGTTTCGGGAGTCGAGATCGCCCGAAACTGAGATACGCTCAGACTTGAGTGAGAAACGAGTGTAGCGCGAATCCGAAGATTCGCTGGAGGAACTGGAGGAACGGATAAACTCACGAGATTGTAAATTTAATGCAAGTTTTATTGTAATGCACCGGGAGCGAGCGACGTAGCGTATTCTGCGCCTACTTTCGGAAATCTTTAAAAATATCCTTCTAATTACTGCCTTTCCCGCGTTTCGGAAATCTTGAAGTACTTCTTGTTAGAAGCTCTCGCGAGGTAGGAAATCTTGAACGCAGACGCCGGATATCTTTAACGCGAGGCAGAGGATATTCGCGATACGGTTAACTGTACGGTTAACTGTACTATACGGCTATCGTCGACTCTCGAACTCCCCACTTTCACACGTTTACAGTATCTTAACAATAAAGAAGTAAAGAATACTATTTAAGGCATTAACGACTTGACCGCCGCGAGAATATGAGAAGCGATCGGATGCGAGACACTTCGTAACAAATTTGAGACGACTACGGCAGAAACGACACGAGCGAGAATAACGATAAGAGAAAATGAGAACGATCGATGAATTTCGACCGGCTCGAATCGTCGTCGTAGGCAGACTAAATCGATCGACTGTAAAATCTCGCGCTCTGCCGATGGCAATAACAATGGTTTTTCGACGTCGATCGTTCGAGAACTTGCTATTTGTCACAGTTTTTCATTGTGAGGATCACGCGATCACGCACGATCGGCTGAGCGCGACTATGTTTATCCTCGCTCGTGTTTTGATTTCGGCTGTTATCGCTGTAATTTGTCGGTGAAATTTGCCGTTGAAATTGATCGATTAAATTTAACGTTTTAATCTTGAACAATTACAATCAAATTACATTGATATTTTGACTACGTGATAGACAAAATCACAAAAAGCGTACGTTTCGGTCCCTTTTTGGACCATCCTCATTTACTCATTATCCGCAATTACAAAGTATATGGAATATTATATTAAAAATGTGACAATAATAATACGCGGAACAAGAGTGAGTCACCCATGTTGTCAGATGGTAAATATTATGTAATGTAATTTTGAGACAGAAAGAAACTGTCCAATAAAATATACTACATTAAAAAATAACTGGCAATATAATTATACCGAACTTGAGTGAGTCACCCATGTTGTACAGAAGGCAAATGTTACACACGGATGTTCGAGACAGAATGTCAAGTCTTTCCATATCGCACGATACATACACAGTAAATATGAATACAAAGGAGTGTTTACAAATGAGATGGCATGACTTTCAAAGTTTTAGTAACATATCGATCACATCCGTATAAGCATAATATAAACATTCCGTGTCTGTCTGTAAATGAAGGCTATTTTCTTGCCTTTTAATGTATACCATTTCAGAAATTAAGCGCTTTTTAAACAAAGGTTCACTATCCAGAATTTCGACTCCATCCAAATCAAATTCATGATTAAATTCTAATCTATGATCGGTTAAGGGGATCCCAAAGGGTCTGTTTTACCGATAAAAACTTTATTTTGCAAAATCTTTTTGTTGATTATAGATATCAAAAAATCCTTTTCCACAATTAAAGTATACATAATAACGGAGGGCGGAGTTTAACATTTCATATGAAAAGTGGAAAAAAATGATAAAATTACAGTTTAGTTATCGGCCTGTGCCGTCAACATTTACTTAATATAAAAGATTTGTAATCTGCACGTGCCTAATCAGTGAACCCCGCACTCGGCATTTCATCAAAGAGTATAAGTGAGCTTAGAGAAGTGAGTTTAGAAGCTTTATAAAAAAGAATCTGCAAAATAAAATTTTCGTGCATATGTATGTGTGCGAGATGGAGGCTCAAGAGTAAAACAGAGCAGTAGATTAGTTGCGTGATGTCGCGATAGACAGAGCTGCAATCGTACATGACAAACACAGACATAATCGTACTATCTTCGTCTCTTTCATGCGTGAGAGAGTAATATACATGTACGCACTAACATTATTGCAGTATCTTTATTCTCTCAATCATACGCTCTGTCACGCTCTGTCTCTTTCTAATCGCTCGCTCGCTATGAACTACGTATCGCTTCATGCTCCTCGCATATTCACTTACGCGTTCATTCGCGCTTCTCTCTCTCTCTCTCTTTCTCTCTCTCTCTCTTCTCGTTCATTATTGTATTCTTTTATTCCCATTATTATATTCTTTTATTTGCTCAACTTTTATTCTTTCTATTCTCGTCTCCTTACATAAAAATAAATAAATGTATTTATTTATTTTTATTTTATACAGCATAAATAAGATATACAATACGTTATTTTCTTTTTTTATTTCACTATATGTAGTTAATACAATACATAATTACGTTTCAATTTAGTTAAATACAACATGCACATACAAAAACACACACGCACACGCACACATACATAATACTTTTTTTATTTATAAAATATACAATATCTTATTTATGCTTTATAAAATAAAGATGAATAAATTAATTTATTATCATATAGGAAAACAAGAATAGAAAGAATAAAAGTCGAACAAATAAAAGATTATAATAATGGGAATGAAAGAATACAATAAAGAACAAGCAGAGAAAGAGAGAGAGAGAGAACGAATGAGGAGCAAGCGAGATAGCTAACATGAAAGACTTCCGAAGTCTCGCTCGCGAGGCTCGCTTTATCTATAATCTCTCGCGTTATATACCGTTACTGTAAAATTTTTGTTTTTCGCGCTTATTGATCCGAAAATAATTACAATGAATTCATGATATTTTACCAATTAAAATAATACGAAACACGAAATCGGATAATTTTTAATCAATTATATAATTAAAATTATGATTACTTATTTCATTAAAAAATTATACGATTTATGTCGTGTTTAGTATCATTTTTATCGCAAGAATCTCATTAATCCATTATAATTATATTCATATTAATAACATCCAAAATGTAAGTTTCAGTTTTTATTTTGTAAAATGTTTATATTTTGTACATCAGGAAAGATCGCCGATGCTATAAAATCGACAAAAGCGAGAGCAAGAAAGAATGATGGAGCAAGCGAGATGACAAACATCAAAGAGTTCCGAAGTCTCGCTCGCCAGGCTCCCTTT